TCCATTTAAACACGTGTTAAATCACTCGAATTTCAAAAATTTATATCTCAAGTTCAAAACGGTCAATTGCAAACGGAAAAGACTCATTTTGTTGCTAATTTTTCAAACTATTCACCATAAAATTTTTAACGAAAACTGTCGAAAAAAAATTCTACGCGACAACAACCTTAAATGTTCATATTTATTTACATTTTCCATTTCTAATAAAAATTATGTGATACTACTAAATTAATGTAGCCGAAAAAATTGAATTTTCTTACAGCTCAATGTTTAGTCATGAATAATAATAACCATTTTGAAAAAATGAAAAAATATTCAAAAAAAAATATATATATACTACATATATATATTTTACAATAATATTATTATGTTCATTAGGATATCGCAAATCAGGCTTCAAGAAGAAATAGACAATTTTTTAAAAGGGGATTGAATAAAAAAACTTTTTCAGAAATCATACATCCACGTGAATCCTTATTTCATTGATTGCAAGAAAAACCCCTCATAATAAAAAAATTGTATTTCTTGTTATTAATTTTTCCTTTATATTTCATTAAACAGTACTACTGCATCATGATGTTCTACTTGCCCTTAAATTTTCAAATCAATTCAATTTCTCACGCAGAAATAATCCAAGTAATAGCCAATCACTAGCCATACATTCAATTATCGTTTACCGATTTCCCATTTATAGTTAATTATCACTATGTCGACAGCAGTATTACTAAACGACTGAGCATGATCCACCCAATGTCCACCCAATGATAATTATTAAAATGAGACATGACAATAAAATATAATCGAGAAAAATATTTCCATAGTGATCAGTCGGGAATTCTCCGGTGCCATTTGATAATAGTTATCGAATCTTGGCGATATCCGAATTTGTCTGTCAGTGTGTATGACACCTTAAGGTTGTTGTCGCGTAGAATTTTTTTTCGACAGTTTTCGTTAACAATTTTATGGTGAATAGTTTGAAAAATTAGCAACAAAATGAGCCTTTTCCGTTTGAAATTGACCGTTTTGAACTTGAGATATAAATTTTTGAAATTTGAGTGATTTAACACGTGTTTAAATGGAGTTTTGCCAATTAGAATTTTTTAAAAATCAACGGCTCG